CTGCACACACAGACACTTAAGTTCCCAGAAGACTGAGGCTATTAAAAATAAATCTATACTTTTAGAGCAGTTGAATGTGTTTTCTACAATCTCTTTTGTTGCTTAAAAAAATATTAGGCTATTTTATTATCAATGTTTCTTGTTAAAAAGATTTTTTAATGTTTAAGTCTACACATCTTATGCTTTATGGTATTCTCCACTTTATGATTCATCTCCGTGGTCACTTTTTAAACATCATAACGTATTAAATAAATCCAAATGCTGGGAACCAATTCTTTTTTTAATTTCTTTAATATTTAGCTCTATTCAGCTACACAAGCATCCTCTTTAAACTACTAAGAATTGTAGTAAAATTGTGACTTTACCCGATTCTTATGTACACCTTAGTAATTTATTGATATGTCGCACAATGTCCTCCATTTTTGGTGCTATAGAAATGGCCACCTTAGTTCTCAGACCAGCCCAGTAGCAACCCCCCCCCCAAAAAAAAATTAAAAGTATCCTCCTTTTCAGAAACCCAAATCTGAGTTACTAACTCAGTTACTCCACGATAAAAGTAACTAGTTACTAGTAAAAGTAATTATACCGTTACTTTTGCGTTTTTCGCCCCCGTAACCCTCACCACCCGGCCCCCACCTTCTCACTGTGTGTTTCAAAGCCAGCTGAATAGAGCGGACGACAAAGACAAGAACCTGCAGAGAGTTTAGCATTTATTGCAACTCAACGTAAATGACATCAGGGGGGAACGCCATGTAAAGTTTTTTAACAGGGCGTTCAGATCTGGTGAGTTTATGAAATTAATAACTGGGGATGTCTAATTCTGAAATCCTGTGTGTTTGGGTTGTTATAGATACTGCAACATCTATCTATCATCTATCTATCTAGATCTATACTCTGTGTGTGACATAAAGTATGGATCTCCATCCCTGCCACAAAGGCCATCAAATAATGTTTAAAATAAAAAATACAGTAGGTTGAAAAGGCAGAGTATCCATCCATCCATCCATCCATCCATCCATCCATCCATCCATCCATCCATCCATCCATCCATCCATCCATCCATCCATCCATCCATCCATCCATCTCTCCTGTGGCGCGAGCACAGGGCGACTGTTACACGCCCTTAGCGAGCATGCGCGTTTCCTGTCGCTTGCACGGTGAATCGTGCCCCCTGCGCTGTGCGGAGATGCAGGGGAAACCGTATCTGATGGGGAAACGCAGCTCAACCTAACAGCGGTATTTCCATCTGTAAAAACGCTGTTTTGCTGCGGGAGTCCTCCTCACTCTCCATCTCTCTGTGTGTGCTGTACGTTAACACCCGCCAGCAGAAACACCCACCTACCCAACTGACAGACGGAATCTCACTATACATCAGCCATTCTCATCCATCCCTCTCTCATGACAAGGCGCGCACGAGTCCTATCATGAAAAAAGGTTCATTGTGCGACATGAGTAACGCGCAGTAACGGGGTGTCTGCAATGGTAACTGCGTTATAGTTACAAAGTAATTAGTTAGATTACTCGTTACTAAAACAAGGTAACGTTAGTAACGCCGTTACTTTCAACGCCGTTAGTCCCATCACTGAAAATAACAAGTTTAAGAGCCCAGTGGTTAAGGTTCTATAAGGCCCATAATTGTTTGATAAAGTTTAAGCTAGTAAACGGTTACATTTAAACAAATATATGATAACTTTACAGCACATTACTTAACATAATGGACTCCACCACTTTGACTCTGTACATTTCTTTGTTTATCTACTGTTAATAATATCAGACTTAAAACATCCGTTCCAATCAAAGGAGAAAACACTGATTCAGGGCAGTAATACAGGAGCTAGTTGATATAAATTAGCACAGCGTATTTCATTAGCCTGTCAGAAAATGGAGACTAATGTTTTTAAACAGAAGCAGCAGATTAGATGCATATAGTGATTATAGGAGCTTTCTAACGTCTGAAGTCTTGCCATAAGCGCTCTCTCGCTCACAGCAGAATTGCTGGTTGTCAGCTGATAATTACCAGAAATCAGCCACGCATCAAGCATAAAAGTGATGTTTTCTGGCTTGATTCTACGTTTACATCCCATACCACACGCTTCCTTGGTCCTAAAGGCTTTTTTTTCCTGTCAGCCACTCTATGCAATCTCACTTTGTGTTGTCCTCAGCTGATCAGGAATGATAGTGCACTTCTAGGTCAGTGTGCTGCAGTAAGTGTCTCTCTCACAGGAGCTGTCGCGTTTCCTGCCTTTTATCACTTTGCAGAATTAAAAACAACAACTCCATCATGGCTTTTTAAGAAAGTACTTGTTATATGAGTAATAGATGCCTGGAAATCCTCATATCTAAAAGTCTCTTATGATTCAAAACGCTTTCATGTGCAGCAGAGTAATTTGTCAAAACAAGTCTGTGGGAACTCCTTTAATCTGACAATTTAAATGCATTTGAACTCCACATTTTCCTGTCATTTTTTTTTACACTTCAGTTCCTCTGAAGCACAGTTTCACTGGAAAGTTATAGACATGATATCATCCTTCTCAGAGTAAAACCTTCAACCATTTTCTTCCTAACCGCTGATTCGGTTTATCTGGCAGGACGATCTGACTGCAGTTTTGAATGGAGGATAAATTTCAGTCCAAATACTAAACTAAGCATCATTAGGATGAGACTCTGATGGCATTAAAGGAAAAGTCCGGTCATATTCAAAATTCAAACTTTCTAAAAGTAGGTTAAATATTAAATTACAACATACTGTTCAATAAATTATCAGTGTTTTTAATTCAGAGTAATGTTCATGTGAATGTGCTTTACTGGAGGCATCCATGTTTGTCAAAGAACACTACTGCCACCTACTGGTTTGTGACATCCCAGTGCTGTATCTGGTGTTTGTCACAAGGCGCTATTATCCAAGTCATCTTGAAAACATTCTTCTTCCAAATGTTGGCTACATATTACGTGTTTTTTCTCTGGCCAGAAGTTCGATGGCAAATCCTCCCTCTTCAAGTTGGCGATCCAACGACCAACCCGTCCGTGGAGGATCAGGAATCAGAAAGGTGGAATAACTGATTTTTTCACTTTTACCCGATGTATTCCAACATCCAACTGCCATGCACGTGGGCATTGTCAGTTTCACTATAGCTCTGGTGAATTTCAATGGTGAAATTCACCAGAGAAATTCACCTCTGGAAATCTTCAATAATTGTTGTTGATTGCAGATGTGTCCAGTAGTTCCCATTGATTTTGCTTGTAAAGCGGGGAGAATGGCGCAAGGCTTACCGCACCGTGACGTCACTGCTGGAAACTATATTTGGGCAAAAATGTCCGCTCCCAGACTCAATTTCATCGCGAGACCTCCAACTGAACTAACTGACACCTATGTAGGTAAATTGTGTTTTCAACCTAAATCTCCTAAAAACAACAAACATATTCGTACTTTATTCCAAGGAAACTGCATTTCAGTTCCTTATGTAATTTCAGTCTGGTCTGGACTGGCCTCAGAGGTATGCTGGAACAAAACTTGGTCTTTACCTAATAAATATTTACTAGTAAACAAGGTTAAAGAGGTTTCCTTTAAGATCATTCACCGCTGTTATCCAGTAAAGTCATTTTTAGTTAAATATAAAAAGGACATTGATACCACTTGTACTTTCTGCAACTTTTACTCTGAATCTGTCTCTCATCTGTTTTGGTGCTGTGAACACACCAGGCGTTTTTGGCAAGGTATCTGTCGCTTCATTCTGGACAATATTTATGATAAATTTGAACTTTATTTTCAAGATGTTTTATTTGGAATTACAAAATATAAAAAATAACTTTCTGAACATTTCTTCTTATGCAATCTTTTGTTACTGTTGGCCAAGTTTTATATCCACAAATGTAAAGTTATTGTGACCAAACCCTCCTGTATTTCTTTTCTAAAGGAAGCAACTACTTATTTTTCTACATTGTCCTCCTCCAATAATAAAAAAGCTGCTAAAACTATAACCTTATGCTCTAAATTTAAAGTATTTATATAATCCCTTTATATGTTTCTATTCACTATTACTTGTTTACTCTTATTTAATAACTTTTTATTTTATTTATTTATTTATTTATGTTCTTTTGCTCAAACCCCTGGTGATTTTTCACTGTAAATTGTAATTTGTCTCTGTATTATAATTTTTTTCTAATAAAGTTTATAAAAAAAAAAAAAGTGTGTCTTCAGTGTACGCAAACTAACTGAAATTTGGTGATTAGTCTTGAGCATATCCAGTATCACCTCGTACGTATGTCCTGATTCAAAATATTCCTGGATAACGGCAGCTATGTTTGGGGCGCCGACAATATCCATGTTTTCAAAAGCCGCAGCAGGCAGAATGACTTCCGGTTCAAGGGTCAAACGGCCCCGTCGTCCAATCAGCAATGTTTCATGTTTCCCACTGGTACCCACCTTTTCCGGTAGGTTAATGTAATTGTGTTTTCCTTAATGTAGTTGCGCTTTGCTTTATGTAGTTGCGATTTCCTTAATGTTCCTTTCAACAGTTTTAGCAGTGACATAAAAAAGGTTAAAGAATTACCTTTTAGTAATAACTCAAACTAGCCATTTTAATTTATTCATTATCTTTAGAAATTCAAATAAGAATTTTTATAAGTACAGCTCAAGAAGTTCCTGCATTAGGGTTTTCCTCCTACCTCTTTATTTGCCTTTCTCTAAAGATAATCCCTCTTTTTAATGTCAAGCACATATAAAAAGGAGGAATTCAGCAATCCCTGCCTGAAAAATCAGAATACAGTTTAAACAAACGCACCAACATCAAATGAGACCAGAAAAAGGAGGGCTTAACTGGATACAAAAATGCCTCTTTAATCCTCCCTTATGAAGAATGATAATCCATCTGTTTCAGCATTAAAAGGTGGCACCAATGTCAGTACATAAAAAACTGTGATTTTGGATGTCAAGTTTTTGATGTAATGTTTGTTCAGGACAGATGCAATCATTTCCAGGAAGAGGCTGGTTTGTACCATACCTTCATGCTGGGTGGGGCAGTGCGGGGGGGTGAGGGGGGACATTCTCCCAGGGGGACGTTCGAGATGTTCAGCAGCTCCTGTTTCCTAGAGACAAAAAGACGAGAAGGGAAGGATGTACACCTTTAATTTATTCATGTCTGTGATCAACAATATATTCGCAGGGTCGTACATCCCTGTGATGTGTTCCTCTTTCTTTAGGCTGATTAAAAATGGGGCCGTCATGGCAGCAGGAAAAGCTCCAGGCATTGAGTCAGCCTGCATAGATCTGCATGTTTCAGTGTCTAACTTAACAAACAAAAAATTTGTTTTAGGTTCATTTTTTCTCCTATTTATATCAAACTTCCTGAGCATTTGAGCTGGTCTTAAATGAGCACGCTGTATGGAGTGAATTTTGTTCCAATATTATTGCAAGCTAGGGCGACTCTTTGCAAATGAACATCTGAAAAAAAATGGAATCCAGAAATTAAAGTTTGAAAGAAGAAGATTGAATGAGAGTGGAGGAAAATAGGAACACTGATGGAAAGATCAACTGAAGAAAAAGAAGAAAAATCTATTTAGAGTTAAAAGAGAGCAGACGAAAAATAAAAAGAAGCAAATTTTTTTGTGAATAACAACAGGAGAGAATTTAACTACTGTTAAAAAGTGAGATGGTGGAAAGATGAATTACAAAAAGATGTACAACTATTTTTCCATAACCTTTTTTTTCATTAAAATATGTGTCAATAAATGTCAATAACGGGATTATTCATTCAGGTCAATAATCTCTGCGCTCATTTTAGTTTTTGCTTTTACTTGTTCAACTGGGAGAGATTTCATTACTTAATTATGTATCATCTGTTTCAATTTAAAGTAAAAAAAAAATAAAAGTATTAACTGTAACCATCCATATATGAAAATAATATGAATTTTCTTTTTATACTAATAAAGGGATTGACTTAATCACATTTTCTGTGACTGTTTTACGCATGGCTGAGTTTTCCCAAAACTATCAGCATTTTTATTTGGATAATATTTTATTAATCAAAAGGTTGAAATTATTTTCAGTAAAAGAGATTAAAAAAATACAAATTTTGCACTTAATATTATTGGTATTGAAACTAATGAATTAAGGCTTGAAGTTAGAAATTAAATTAAATTACATTAAATTAGAGGAAATAAATTATACAAAAGTTTAAAACAAAAAAAGTGCAAAGTAAATTATTCAAGAGATCATAAAACATTGTATATTATCTATAACACTATGATTGTTTCATATTGGTTATTATCATGCAGAAATCTGGGGAAGTTTAAATAAAACATGTTTAATAAGTTTTAATTTCCAAAAAAAAAGATTAATAATAAAAATACTAACCACAGAGAAGCACCAAATTCACTATTTCTTCAGTTAAAATGGATCAAATTCAATTAATTTGTAGATGATAGTGTTTTACAAATAATATTTAAAGAAAAAAGGAAAATAAATTGTGATTTAAAAAGAACTGAGATCTTAAAAAAAACAAAAACATTTAGAATAGAAGCAAAGGAGCGCTGCAATTCTGTGAAACAAATGAAACAACCTGAATAAAGACAACAGAGAATCACAGCAATTTTATATCAGTTATTACTGATTTTAATGCAAGTCTCTAATCATGTCAAATGTTATGTTTTGTTTTAAGATAAAGCAGAAAATAAAACCTAATAAAATAAAAAAGTTAGTGTTTTTGATCACTTGCATACCCCTTACAAATGGAGCCCCCCTCATCCCTCAGTGAGCTCTAGAAGCACAAGATCTATTTCCAGACATTCAACAAAGATCCTGCTACATGGCTGTACGTCTTATTTTGGCATTTGACCAATTAGTTTAGGCCTGGAATGATTAAAAAAAATTAGAGAAAGAAAGCTTATGAGTCAAGAAAAAAGGTAAAAAGCTAATTGAAAAGTTAAAAAGTAAAGTTAAAAAGTTAATAAGCCTACTTAACAATTCTATTTAAGTTTATAAACTCAAACATTTTAAGTGCCAGTATCAGCATTAATGCCTCTAAGGTTATGTTTTACCAAAAAAACAATGTTCGTTTCCCTCTCAGAGTGTTTTTCATGAATTTTTTAAATAAATACTTTTGTTATTTTTCTTACTATATTCAGGCAATTTGCCGTTTGTTGTTATTACATTGACATTAATGTTAGCATCCAAATATCCATATTTTTTTAATGTTACAAAGGTAATAAGGTCTTGTCCTGGATTCCATTAACACTATTGGCTTGAAATTACAATTTTTCAAAGTATTTCACTGAGTCCCCTATAAAGGGTTAATTATATAATATATTATTTAATGTGAGCTGAAGGTGAAACTTTATGTCCATTAAAGCACACTCTAAAAACAGAATGATCAATACGACCAAAAATTTGGCTGAATTTTACCAATCTGGTTGGTAGTTATGTATCCAACCAATCTTTGGGTTAAAACAACCAATCTATCTTGGTGGTGAGTTAAAGTAATCTATATTGGTAAAAGAGCAAACCAATACAAATTGGTCACTTTAACCAAAACCTTGGTAAAGTATAGCCACTTTAACAGCCAAGGCCGGGGCTTGAACCATCCTTTGATTGAAGGGCAAACCCCCTACGTCCCCAACGCCACTGTCAAGGCTAATATTGATTGGATTATTACTACTTAATACTAACATGACCACCAAGGTTAATCCCAAGATTAGCATGCTGTAGATGCAGCTACACATCACTGTAATTGTTGTCCAGGTCCATGACTACTCCACACTGCACTGACTACAGCCAAACAGTCAGTTTAGTAAACAATCTGTTACCATTTTTAGTTTTTGTTTGGTTAACCAATCAAATTGGTTGATTTGAAACCGACGGTTTGGTCAGTTTTTGACCAATATATTGGTTAATCCAACCAAAATTGGATAAACCAATTAGATTGAGTGTTTTTCCAACAAATCTGTTCTTATAGCAGAGGATTAATTGGCTTTTACGCTATATGAGTAGCATACCAGCTGCTAATCTTTCCAGCCAGTTGCCTTAACTTAAACAGAAAGTGAAACCTATAAGTGATTGATTTCAAATGAAAAGCCAAAAATTCTACATCAGGCTCAATTTTAAAAGATTTACTAGAGTTGCACCGCAAATTATGACCCCAACCTGAAGTGGCCATTAAAGCCCCTGGACCAGGACAAATTTAAATCCTCTAGCTTTTCAGAACTGGTTAATTTTAACATTTAATGCATCTCTAATTAAAAGGATTTAGCCTGACCTCGATGGAAGCACCAGGATAAGAGGCTTTCTGCTCTTTTTGTATGCTCAAAGGGGTTTGGGAGGGGGTGGCTGACAAAGAGCTGCAAGAGGTCATTAGTGTGTGAAAGATGGTTCTCATTTTCCTGCTGTTCTCTGTATCATAGCAAACTCAGAAACATGAGTGACCATTAATGATGCTGAGCTGTAACTGAGGAGGTGAAGGAGGATTTGGTGTTTTGGGAACATTTGTTGAAGCAACCAGTTTAGTCAGAACAATATTACCACTAAATATCAGGTAAAGATAATAAAATGTAAACATATTTTTTCTATTTAAATCTACTGAGCTTTAGGACCACCAGCCCTTTTTGCATATGAATAAATGAAGAAAAAAACAAAACAACTAGCTAAATGTATAAATACCAGGCGCGGAGCTAGAGAGGGGGCGAGGGCTGGTCATGGCCACCCTTAGCTAAAAACTGGCCCATTTTATTTATAGTGAAACTGACAATGCCCACGTGCATAAGGGCCTGGTTAGATATTTTGTTTCTTTTATTTTGAGAATAAAGTTGTAACATTACAAGAATAAAGTTGTATTAAAAGATTAAAGTCATCATACAACAATGGTTTCAACGAGAAAGCTTCGAGCTCTGACCAGCATATGATGGCCGACCAGCTCCACCAATCAGCAACCTGAGTCGATGTTGATATCCTGCTAAAGTTTAAATCCCAAGATTTAATTAATTTTAATTTTTTTTATTCGTTTTATTTGCTAAAATGCTAAAAGATTTCCTTAATTGTCAAACCAAAGCCAAAGTATAACTTCACATGATGCTCCACATTCCTCATTTTAGGGAAGAAAGTGCTTCTTGTAGGAGTTGCCATAAAATACAACTTGTTTCTCGTAATATTAGGACTTTTTTCTCTTAATATTACTTTTTTCTCTTACTTTTATGACTATTCTCGTTGTGACTTTTTTCTTGTAATATTCCGACTCTATTCTCAGTTTTCCGCCTTTAGTTACGACTTTATTTTCATAGTTTTACGACTTTGTTCTCGTAAGGTTATGACTTTGTTCTCGTAATGTTACGACTTTATTCTAATATCGTAATGTTACGACTTTGTTCTCGTAATGTTACGACTTTATTTTCATAGTTTTACGATTTTTTTCTCGTAATGTTATGACTTTGTTCTCGTAATGTTACGACTTTATTCTCATAATTTTATGACTATTCTTGTTGCGACTTTAATCTCATAATTTTATGACTTTATTCTCATAGTTTTCCGACTTCATTCTCTTAATGTTACGACTTTATTCTCGAAATAGAAGAAAAAAAAATCTCTACCCCTAATACTCCATCGTATAAATTAATATACTGACATTGGAGACGGAAAATAGAGAAATTATGCTCTTTGTGATCTAGTTTTTGTCTTATATGAAGGAGAAGGGAAAGAGGTGTCTCTGCATGTGCAGGTAGCTCCTGTGTCAATAGAAATAAATAACAACTAAAACCAGTTAATGGAGATATTAATTTACACCTGTGTTAATATTATGCAGAACCATAATCAATTATGAAGGTATAGTGAAAGTTTTTTCACTGTTTGAATTACTGTGCATGTAAAAGACCATCCTATGCTCTTCTGCCATCTTGTAAAATAATCTCCCAAACACACTCTGGTCTCATTATTTCTTCTGAGGCCTTCGGCTTCTTCTACATAAACTTATAAGACTGTTTGCATCTTTCTCACTAGATGGAGAAACACTAAAAGAGGAAATGAGAATGAAACAGAATAGAATAGAAAATCGATTCATTGTCCCGCAAGGGGGAAATTCTGGTGTTACAGCAGTAAAATGATT